ACAATAACGGCTCGTTCATTAATAATTTTTTGCATGTATTAAAGTATTCTACAAATTCGAGTGTATGTGTGATTTTGGCATCCTTTTCCAAGCATTTTGTTAGAGGTTTTGTGATTTTTGCAAAATCTCGAATAAACTTCCTGTAATATCGCAGGAGTTCAAGAAATCCTCTTATTTCTTTGCTGTTTTCGGAATTGGATATTTTTTATCACTTCTATTTTGGCTGGATTTGGTTTTATTCCTTCTTATATGACTACGTGTCCTAGAAAATTGACTTCCTTTTTTAAGAACTCACATTTATCGACTGGGATTTTTAATCTGGCTTTTCTTAGTCGTTAAAATACCTTTGTGAGATTTACAATGTTTTGTTGCAGTGATGTTGAATACACAATTACGTCGTCCATGTAGACGAGGCGGATCTCTCCTTCGAGTCCTTTAAATACGTTGTCCAGCATGCGTTGGAACGTGGACGGAGCATTCCTCAGTCCAAATGGCATTATTACATATTCGTAGTGTCCATTTTCCACATTAAATGCTGTTTTGGGAATGTCTCCTTCGGTCATCTGAATTTGGTGAAATCCGCTCGCTAAGTCGAGGGTAGTAAAATACTGACATCGTCCAAATTTGTTGAGGATATCGGTAATATAATGAATCTTATATCGATCTTCTGTTGTTTTCTCGTTGACCTTCCTATAATCTACCACTATTCTCTACTTTATTTTACGGGAGGAATCTGGTTTTTTTTGGCACGATCCATATGGGTGATGACCATGGTGATTGGCTTGGTCTAATTATGCCTTGATCTAACATTGAAGATATTTGTTTCTTTACTTCTTTCTTATGTACATATGGGTACCGGTATGATTTCGTATATACTGGCTCTTCATCTTTAGTTTTGTTACCGTGTTTAGCTTCTTTGGTTAAGCTTAGACGAGTGTCTGGTTGATAAAGATATCAGAGAATTTTCGGCATAGGCGGCGAACCTGTTCCTCTTCTTCTTGATGAAGATGTTCGATGTTTTAATCAAATTGTCGATATCTTGCGTGAATCCTGGTCCGGGGTTGTTTCCATAGAATATATATGAACATTTTCGATACACATTTCCTTAGTATCAACTGGTTCCGTAAGGGAAAGATGAATAGGTTCTGACGTGAAGTTGGCAATTTCGGTCCAAGCGAGATAGTTTTTGGCATTGGTAAGAGATTCTCGTACAAAGACCCCTTGCACAATTTTTCGGGGAATAATGATAGTTAAATTTTTTTCTTTTACTGGAACTTTGACTTCGGTTTCAATTGAATGGAATAAAATTGCGTTTTATTTGTTTTATAATATTTAATAAGGATTGTGGAATTTTTTGTAACTAGAAGTGATCGAGGAAAGTTAAATTGGGCTTGAAAGAGTTTTAGATTGTCGAGGCCAATAAGGTCATCAACAGTTTTGTGAAATTTAAACAGATAAAATTTCATCCGGTTGTCTGAATTAAATTCTGAAAATAAAGGGATTTCAGCACAATATTTTTGTGAATAATTTTTAAAAGTCGATGTAACTGTGAAAGGTTCATGTTTTCTGTTATTTGGAAAATATGAAGATGCTATTTCTGAATTAAGAGAAGATTTTGTAGATCTTGTAGCGAATAGAAGTCATAAAGGAAGCTTAGAAATTTCGTTGTGATCATCTTGGAAATTTTTCGTAATCAAGTTTATAGTACTGGTAGTTGGCATTTTTTTCTTCACTACCTGCTTGACGTTGTATATTGTATAATTCTTCGACGGTAAATTCTCACAGTGCTCGGTAGTTTGGTGTGAAGTTTTGGCGGCCCTTATTTGTGGTACCTAATATTCCACTCATATGTGTCGGTCTAGGCTGCTGTGGTTGTCCCGGTTTAGGTACCCATACATTTGACCGCTTCTGGGATCTGAATAATGGAGGGTTTGAATTTTGTCTAAATTGGTTGAAGTTGGCTGTCAGAGTAGCTGTTGGAACTGGTTCTGTGGGTAGAATTGTCTAACCAGTTGCTGCCATTGAAGAGATGCAAAATTTGGCTGTTGATAGAATGGTTTTTAGATAGGTACTTGATGAGTTGTTCTTTGTGGTCGACGTTCTTGGTAATAATTTTCGTTCCTTCCTGATGTTGTGGAATGAGTTATCTGATTTTTTTGAAGATATCGTACATTATTTTCTTCTTGCACATATTGTATTGATGTTGGAAAGTCAATTGTTTCAATTTAAAATTTGATGATTTTAATATTACTTTGAGAAATAAAAGAAACGCGGGGGGTTTCAAAAGTTCGATTATTATAATGTAGGTTCCTATTTAAGAAAAAATTTATTTCAAATTCCATGCGAAAAGAAATTCCAAGTAATTCAATACATAAGGACTTCACTTCACCAAAATAAGCTACTAACAAAATGATAATAAACCTCGCCAGCAGATTCTACAGAAGTGTTACAGTTTCAGAATACTGGGCAAGAAACTTTTACAAAGAATTTATTCAATTTCCCTTAACTTCGAAAGTAAATGTTATAAAATAAATCTTGTCAAAATTTATTAAACACTTATTGCGAAATTGAAGATATATATATATATATATATATATAATATATATATATATATATATCCGGTTTTTTAGGCGTTACGCCCGTCCGGTAGGGATCTATGGAGGAGTACCACCGAGCCGCAAGCCCTTATCTCTTGCCGTACTGCTCCACCATAGGCCGATCAGAACCCAGCATATCCTAGTCTAAGCCGCAGATTCATCTAGAATTTTAAACTGCTGCGTTAGACTTTTTGTTTTCTGTAGACCGAGCTGGGGCTCGACCCACATCCACTAAACCATTCGACAGTGAAGCGAACGAGAGGCAGCCGCACAGCCCGCTGAGCTATCTGACCGACGAAATTGAAGATATACCATCTCAAATACCAAGTTCTTCGACTGCTCAAAAGAAATATGAAATATGTAGTGCATGCTACAAAGATATAATGATAGTGTTAAAAATTCGATGATGGGAAAAGATTTGTTTTTACGTTCAGGACTTCTTCACAGTTGCTATAATAAGTTCTGCTAAGAGGAAATACGTATGCAAATAAGCAGAGGTGCTATATGTAAAACCAAATCTTAACTTTCTTGTTTATTATTAAAAATCACATAAAAGACGACTATCTTTGAATTTCCGTCGATGAAACGAATACAATGGGACGACAAATTACGAATCTAATTAATGGAGTTTGATAACTCTGGCGATTTTAAAAACCAAAATTTGGTTAGTTTAAAATGTTTATAAAAAACAAATTATGCTACAATAGCTAGATTTGTTTACGAATCCCTTTTTTATATCTTATCAAGTACTATTTGAAAAAATATTATTAATGGTTAGTGATGCCGCCTCATATAATATAATCAAAGCTGCATCCAATCTTTTTAAAATGTTTTTTTCCTAATTAAATTCACAGGGCGCGTATCCTAAACAGAATTGCATAGAAAGTTAGAGTTGAATTTCGCAATGTAAAAACCTTAATATATAATTTAAAAACAGTATTTCTGAAAGCATAACTACGTGTACAGATATCTAAGGAGATGCTCTCCGATATTCCTTTGTCACCAGAACCAGTATCACCAGATGGGTGACTTGGCTTAAAAGTGCTATTTTTTGCTGATTACTGGGACGGTATGCCTCACGACAACTCATCGAACAAATGCCAAAAACACGAGTGATTGTAACCGTCCTTCGCTTAAATTTCTCAAATATCGATTCTCCAACCAGGCTTAATATGTGCTCAGGGTAATCATCAGCAATAGATCTCACTCTGGGCGGTTCTCAACAAACCACTCATTTTTCTTGGGAAGTTTTACCGTAGATTAATGCTAGCGACTACTATCCCATTCAAGTTTCATAATTTTTTACTTGCTCCCCATTTTAACAATACTTATATACCCAAACTGAAAATCGAGACCGCAGAGTCGAAAAGCTTCTCAGATTACATTTAAGCTGCTCTCTTAAAAACTGTAATATAACAGAAAGTATTTACAATATATTTCAGATAGTATACATAATATTACTTTAGAAAATATGAATAAATAGGTATATGAATATTCATTGTAACAGTAAAAATAGGTAAATTTGTTTAATTTTATTTTTATTTATCTTCAAAAATAAATTTCGTGGTCAAAATAAAATATTTTAAAATATATCAAGAAATAATAATACAATGTGTTTTTTAAACCATTAACCTAAGCTTTTAAACTATTTTTATACAAATAAAAGCATATAAATAAATTTTAAATAAATGTTTGTATATTATTTTTACAAATTTGTACATATTCAGCATCTTTTAAAATGCATAATGCATGCATATCTTAAAACTTCTTTTAGTACATATTTTCCAGTCTCTAGTCATCATACTTATTAATTATTCTATTTATTTAATAACTTGATTATAAATTACAATTAATAAATAAAAATAATATTCTGTGGGACGTTATTGCTTTTGTTTTCGAAATTATGTTCACCGCTTTACATATTCTGCCGAAAACACATTCTTGTTAATTTTTCTGATGTTATCATTTTTTCCAAGGTTAGCAGAACGAGAAAGTCTTCTAAAATTGCTAAATATAGCTTAATTAATTCAAAAAACGGGACCATGAAAACTAATAATTAGCGTCCATAAAAAAGGCTCACGACCTTATAATAAATTTTTCAATCAAAACAATGCATTTATCCAGATTATCTGGAAAATAGTGCAGCATTTGTCAATATTTCATGGGAAAACTAGGTGTGACTTTGCTTTCTTAAATAAAATTTGACCTGTTTAGAGGAAAATTTTCAAATTGATCGCTCAGATTGTAAATCGCAGGGGGAATTCATCACGCAAGATATTTAAGACACGATTCAGTGAAATGTACAGTCGAAACGCGAAACTACCCTAGACGGTCGTGGTTTCCTCGCTCTCTGCAAAATCACGACGATACGAAAAATACCGGTGTGAGTGCATTTTCTGAAAAATGTTTGGTAGTTTTGAAAGAATCTTCCTACGTCGCTCTTCCACATATTTATTAATATATGTAGCAGGAATATGTTTATCCCTCGCAAAGGATTTTAAAACAATTATAGACATCCCCAATCAAGGAAAACTTCGAGGAGTTGAACTGTCAAAATTAAGAATACAAAAAATCATAGCTTACTACGGTATTCCGTACGCTCAAGCTCCGGTGAATAATCTGAGGTTTGCACCACCTGTAACTGATCCGTTACCAGCTTGGGATGGAGTTAAAAATGACACCGAATATGCTCCTTCCTGTTTACAAACCGAGGAGGACTATAAGGAATCAGAAAAGCCGTTCCTGCAGTTGATTTCCAAATTGAACTTTACTTTAGCAGAAGACTGCTTGTACTTGAATGTTTTTATACCGTATGGTAAGTTCAAATTATCTAAAAAATATATATTTAAATATTAAGTAAGAAAATCGAGGTATTAGAAACACTGGAAATTCTTTGTGTAAATCTTACCTTTTCATAACTTACAACATACTTTGCAGTTTACAATCCACATCTTTGCATCTTGTTGCTTCGCCTCAGCTATTGTAGATTATATTATAGATTTCAAAGGAGTATGTCTGTAGATCTATATTTATTCTAATAGGTCTAACCAGTACTCATTATTTTAATCAACATTTTAAGATGTAACTTATCGTAAATATTTCATACGGGGGTGGATGGATACCTACGATCCACCCCAAAAGTTTTGTATAGTTTGAAGTTATGCCGGTAGCCCATTCAATTTTAATTGTTGTAAAGACTTTACCTGTTAAATTTTTGATATTCTTGATGATCTGCATTTAGATTGATTAAACTATACTCCATTTGAGGCGTTTTAGTGATGATGAAGTTTTATCTTCTTCTTTTTCAGCTTTTTTCTTTTCAGGTGTCGCTGTTCCTTAGTCTTTTTCGCCACTCATTTTGGTTCACCCTGCCATCTTCATTTAACCGTTTCTCTCTAAAATCCTTTGCCACATACTCCTTCCATCTTCTCCTCAGTTTTTTTCTACCTCTCTTTTCCTAAATTTCTAACAGTCCCATCGTTAATCCCACTTAGTTCTCATTTATATGGCTGTCGTGACCAAACCATTGCAGTCTTTGTTCTTAAACCTTTTTTAAACCTTCTTAAAACACCCTGTGTTCTGGTCTAGGGACTCAATGAGGAGACTTAATGTAAACCAACTGTAACTGGAAAACTTTTAGTCAATCCGACACAAGTCTTTACTTTGGTGTACGCTCCCTACATATCGTTTACGAGCCTTACGTACTTCTCAGAAACCTATTTTGCTTTCATACATCTCCATAGCTCTTGTCTAGGAACTCTATCGTATGACTTTTTAATATCTATATATACCAAATCTAGTCTTTTATTCCCACCGTATTTTTTATCAACTGTCTTAAAGCAAACAAGGCATCCGTTGTCCCCCAAACTGTTTTTCTCCAATCGCTGTCTCTCTCCTTAACCATCGCTTTACAGTTTTCTCCGAAATTTTCATTGTTTGCGACAATAACTTTACCCCTTCATAGTTCTTACAGTGTTAAATGTCCCTTTATCTTTATATAATGGTAATATCACGATCTCCTTCCATGCATTGGGCAGACGATCTTTTCCTATCAGTAGTAGCTACAGCACCCTTTGCTTCCCTCTTTGCTACTTTGTAACCTCTTTCTCTCTTTTCCGATGACGCAGTCAACGCGTCTACTTCACTTTCCTTTTAATACTATAAATTATAGTTCTCTCTAATATTTTTTCCTTTTCATCTCTCTCGAGTATTTACTCAAATATTCACGATTTTCCTCGCTATAGAACAACAACTTAACCAGGATCTCCATAGGGATCATCTTACCTTAGCCCACCTCACACTCACGTTATTCTCTCTTACAACCGTCACATAGAGAGTATATGCACAATAACTACACACGTCAGTCTCCTCTTTGCCAATCTGTTTCCGGTAGAAGTAGAAAGAGCCAAATCCAATCCACCATCTTTCCCTTTCTATTATTCACCTAATTTCTATTAATGCATCGCTAGTTCACTTTTACATTTTTGATCTCTTTATTCTTTTTCATATCCACCAATTGTTAGTGTCTGTCTCAGCTATCAGATTTATCAGAGGTTTTCCAGGCAGCACAGCCACCACATATGTTAGCATAGTATGGTGGGCACTATACATCCTAAGAAGAGTTTGTTTTCGAAAACCATCTAATTCTTGAGTTTTACTTTTTGATCCCAAATGTCTTCACCATGTCTTCAATCATACAAGAGTATGGAGAGCACCACCAAGCATATTAGTCCTCTTGCACTTGCCTGAATTCGTCAAAATTCGACATCCGTTTTCCAGAAAGACTATATCTGCTCTTTTGAATGCAGTTAACCGACGAAGCTATCCTAAGGTTCCGCTGCAAGTTAAGTACATCGTAATACAACTCTTGTTTATCATAACGAGCACTAGCCTCATTCGCAACGATCTCTAACTTACTCCTATTCCGTCACCCTACTAACAACACTGTTTTTATTTTTTGCAAGGCCAGATACTTTCCAGTTCACCCTTCTTTTTAATTTATCTTTTGTAGTAGCCACATTTATAATCACTAGATCGTCGATATGACCCACGAATAAAACGCACAGTAGCCTACTCACTGTAAGAATTCCATCATAATATATCTTCTACAAGATTGATCTTAAGGCAGATAAGAAATTCTCTTCCACGTTCATATATATCTCATTTAGATAGTTCGATGTAACTCGAACCAGATAGGGGCCCGTTCCCTCTGTTTAACTCCCAGAAAATTTCACTGCAGGTGATTTTTACGTCCAATGTCATAAAAACCTATAGCTGTGTACTATCTATAATACATACATAGATTTTGCACTTCCACTTTCAGTTTTTTTCTTTGTGAACATAAATTCTACGTATTTTATACATTATTTTCATTTACAAAGCTCAACAGGTCTTGAAGGCAAGACCTGTTGAGCCACAAAATACAATAAAAGTCTAAAGTACAATAAATATAATACTCATGTATTACAGAACTTGTACGTTGTAAGTGTGATGGCTTGTAGTCTAATCATGCTCCTTGCCTATTAAATTAACCTTGCTATTCTTCTCCACTCATCCATCTCACTCCCTGTATCTTTATAAAGCGACTGATGCTTGGTTCGTTATACAGTTCCTCTAGCTCCCTGTTTATTCGTCGCCGTTCACCGTGTTTTTGCCACCATATATAGCTCTGAGCATCTCAATTTGCATTTCCATCTTTCCAATTTCTTCTTATTTGTTTTTTTCATTGTCCACACTTCATTACGATACGTCAATGTATGCTTTACTACCGTTTAAAATAGCCTTAACTTTATTTTTCTCGATACGTATTTGGATTCCATCAGTAGCCTTCTGCTTCCTTTTTTTTCTTCTATAATAACCATCAAATAATATGTAAAATGGACCACTCTCTCGAAATTATATACCCTTGACAATATGAAAGTAAATTGTCCCTCTTTTTTTTGCTCCGTAATTCCGAGTATTGTGTACTCTGATTTTTCCTGGTTTATTTCTAGGTCAAAATATTTTGCCTCATTTTCTAATGTTTTTATAACATTTCTTAATTATTTTCTTGTTTTCATTATAATAGTAAAATCATCCACGAAGGCCAGATATTGATGTTTATTGTTAGATATATCCGGTCGTTTTAACTCGGCTATTTCTGATTATTGTTTCCAATACCAAATTATAAAGCACATTGGATAAATGATTTCCTTGTCCAAGATCTTTTTACACTTCAAATTCTTCCAATGAGAATCCTTTCCATACTACAAAACTGATTAGTCTTTGGACATTATCATTTATCTCTTTAGGTTTGCCTCTTTCTCCACTTTTGCATTGCAATCACCGTTTACTATTTATATATCATGTTTTGGTAGATGCTCATATTGATCCGCCAGTTGCTCTTAGAATAGGTCTTTTGTTTCATAAACTTTTTCCTTGGATGGGGCGTCTATGTTAATTATACTTTCCCATTGAAATAGTAATTACTTTCGGACATATATGCACATTCTGTCTGAGATAGGGCTAAAGAACATAACTTTCGTTATAAAATTTTGTGCAACTGCGAAACATGTTCCCAGCATCATGACTTTCCCGCCACTCTTAAATAGTGCTATGTCCTTAACCTCCATTATTTTATTTCTCATTTGTTTAGTTTTTTGTAAAGCCATAACATCTATGTTGTATTTCTTTATCTCATTGGTTAGCTCTTTAAACGCTCCCCCATAATGGACCCTTTAATGTTCTGGGTCGCTAGTATCATCCCCTTTGTTCATTTTCTCTTTTTAAGCTCCCCTATCAGCTTTCTTGTTTCCTCCTTTCTATTATGTTTCTTATTTATACTTTTCAACTTTTTATAACCAGAATTCATTGCCTTGCTCCTTGCTTGGGTCGTTTATCTCATATCATATAGCTTTATTTCTACATTAGCTTTTTTAATCTTTACCTTTTTGATATCTAAGCCCCCCGAATTTTAAAAACGTACTTCAATGTAAAAATTATGGCGGTATCGCGTGATTTGAAATATGTATATATCTCACAAGGGAGTATCTACACGTAGTTAAATTATAGGAGTAGGACGATTATATTCGTGAGTAAAGAATTGAGAAGAATAAGTCTAAAAATGTGTATAACTTTAACTAAATTAAAGTATATTCTGGAACAACTCCAGATCTAGATATAAGGAGAAAAAAATGTTTAAGGTTGTGTTTTTGTCAATAGTGATCAACAACATATTTGAAAGTCATTATGTAGAAAAATAAAGTTATTTGCATACCAATTATTTCTTTGAAATATATTGAAGATATAGTACTGTTCAAAATCTAGCAAAGTTCAAACAAGCCAATTGTAGTTTTATTCACAAAACATAAAAAACAGAGTTTAGCTTTTCTAATAATTTTTTATGCTTCTTTTTGGTACAAATCCGCATTTTATTAGTCACGTTTTCTACGAATTGTGGCTTAATTTTTAAACCAATAGAGGAATTCTGTTTGCAGTCACCATTCTTCCGATAAATTAAATCTAAAGACAGTGGTTCTTTATGTGTATTGCCTTTCAATCAATCAATTTGACCCTATGCTTACGCGTTGTCAGCTTTGATAATTAAAAGTTGAAGTCCACAGAAAACATTATTTATACAGACAGTCATTACGGGAGATTTTAATGCTAAAATGGGTTAAAATGGGTAAAAGGTTTTAAGGAATGATTCGAATTAGACATTGGAAATGGGAGGGGAGAAAATACTGTGTCAACAACATTATTGTACATTATTTATTTCTCTTCCGGTAGTTTGAAGTATCTTCTTCTTATGGTGTCTTATTCATTTACTGGATGTTA